GACAGGAGGGACTGCCAGGGGGGGGAGAGTGACAGAGGAGGGACTGCCAGGGGGGGAGTGACAGGAGGGACTGCCAGGGGGGGGGGAGTGACAGAGGAGGGACTGCCAGGGGGGGGGGGGAGTGACAGAGGAGGGATGCCAGGGGGGGAGGAAGTGACAGAGGATGGACTGCCAGGGAGGGGAGTGACAGAGAAGGGACTGGCAGGTGGGGAGTGACAGAGGAGGGACTGCCAGGGGGGGAGTGACAGGAGGGACTGCCAGGGGGGAGTGACAGAGGAGGGACTGCCAGGGGGGGAGTGACAGAGGAGGGACTGCCAGGGGGGGAAGTGACAGAGGAGGGACTGCCAGGGGGGGGGGAAGTGACAGAGGAGGGACTGCCAGGGGGGGGAAGTGACAGAGGAGGGACTGCCAGGGGAAAGTGACAGAGGAGGGACTGCCAGGAGGGAGTGACAGAGGAGGGACTACCAGGAGGGATTGACAGGGGAGGGACCGCCAGGTGGGAGTGGCAGGGGAGGGACTGCCAGGGACAGTGGAAAATTCGTTTATCCTAAAATCAGAGTAAATAACATGGAAAATATGATCAAATGGGCCCACAATTTTCAAAATTATAATTAGAATATTTGTATGTTCAAATGTATTTAAAAATTATTCTCACCGTTTCCCGTTTTTTTTAATCAAGCTTGGGTATACACAGCAATGTATTCACCTAGTTGTACTGGCCTAATTGTGCTTGCGGGGGTTGAGCTCTGGCTCTTTGGTCCCGCCTCTCAACTGTCAGTCAACTGGTGTACAGGTTCGTGAGCCTACTGGGCTCTTATCATATCTACATTTGAAACTGTGTATGGAGTCAGCCTCCACCACATCACTGCCTAATGCATTCCACCTGTTAACTACTCTGACACTGAAAAAGTTCTTTCTAACGTCCATGTGACTCATGTGGGTACTCAGTCTCCACCTGTATCCCCTGGTTCGCGTCCCACCAGTGTTGAACAGTTTATCTTTAACATTTAACAATAAAATTGTGCTGTTTCCCTATTGTACATGAAAGATTACTCAGTGTAGATCAAAAACTAGTTAAAGGGGCATCTAATATTTCCTTCCAAAGTTGTAGTTCTTGTTGAATAAGGCCAACAATCCGTTAGTCCTAATTACTCATGACTTGGAATATCGTATTTAGGCCTACCGGAGGTCTGCGTCTCTTTACCCTGTACTTTACCTCTTAATTAAATTGATCACCAATATGTTTATTAAATGTTTAATAAGGAATGTTAAATGATCATTTTATTTTATCTGAAAAATTGTAATTGGTGATTGAGAAGAGGCGCTGCGCACCAGTGACCCGCGGAGAGCTTAGACTGCTAGATAAATAGATCAATAGATGGAGAGAATAATCTGAACAGAAGAATATTTTTTCCACATTAGGAGTGAGAGTGGAGGGACTGTCTGGATGGGGTGAGGGAGAGGAGGGACCGTCTGGATGGGGTGAGGGAGAGGAGGGACCGTCTGGATGGGGTGAGGGAGAGGAGGGACCGTCTGGATGGGGTGAGGGAGAGGAGGGACCGTCTGGATGGGGTGAGGGAGAGGAGGGACCGTCTGGATGGGGTGAGGGAGAGGAGGGACCGTCTGGATGGGGTGAGGGAGAGGAGGGACCGTCTGGATGGGGTGAGGGAGAGGAGGGACCGTCTGGATGGGGTGAGGGAGAGGAGGGACCGTCTGGATGGGGTGAGGGAGAGGAGGGACCGTCTGGATGGGGTGAGGGAGAGGAGGGACCGTCTGGATGGGGTGAGGGAGAGGAGGGACCGTCTGGATGGGGTGAGGGAGAGGAGGGACCGTCTGGATGGGGTGAGGGAGAGGAGGGACCGTCTGGATGGGGTGAGGGAGAGGAGGGACCGTCTGGATGGGGTGAGGGATAGGAGGGACCGTCTGGATGGGGTGAGGGAGAGGAGGGACCGTCTGGATGGGGTGAGGGAGAGGAGGGACCGTCTGGATGGGGTGAGGGAGAGGAGGGACCGTCTGGATGGGGTGAGGGAGAGGAGGGACCGTCTGGATGGGGTGAGGGAGAGGAGGGACCGTCTGGATGGGGTGAGGGAGAGGAGGGACCGTCTGGATGGGGTGAGGGAGAGGAGGGACCGTCTGGATGGGGTGAGGGAGAGGAGGGACCGTCTGGATGGGGTGAGGGAGAGGAGGGACCGTCTGGATGGGGTGAGGGAGAGGAGGGACCGTCTGGATGGGGGCGAGGGAGAGGAGGGACCGTCTGGATGGGGTGAGAGAGAGGAGGGACCGTCTGGATGGGCGGAGGGAGAGGAGGGACTGTCTGGATGGGGTGAGGGAGAGGAGGGAGCTTGGGGATGGGGCGAGGGAGAGGAGGGAGCTTGGGGATGGGGCGAGGGAGAGGAGGGAGCTTGGGGATGGGGCGAGGGAGAGGAGGGAGCTTGGGGATGGGGCGAGGGAGCTTGGGGATGGGGCGAGGGAGATGAGGGAGCTTGGGGATGGGGCGAGGGAGAGGAGGGAGCTTGGGGATGGGGCGAGGAGCTTGGGGATGGGGCGAGGGAGATGAGGGAGCTTGGGGATGGGGCGAGGGAGAGGAGGGAGCTTGGGGATCGTGCGAGGGAGAGGAGGGAGCTGGGGGATGGGGCGAGGGAGAGGAGGGAGCTGGGGGATGGGGCGAGGGAGAGGAGGGAGCTTGGGGATGGGGCGAGGGAGAGGAGGGAGCTTGGGGATGGGGCGAGGGAGATGAGGGAGCTTGGGGATGGGGCGAGGGAGAGGAGGGAGCTTGGGGATGGGGTGAGGGAGAGGAGGGAGCTTGGGGATGGGGCGAGGGAGAGGAGGGAGCTTGGGGATGGGGCGAGGGAGAGGAGGGAGCTTGGGGATGGGGTGAGGGAGAGGAGGGAGCTTGGGGATGGGGCGAGGGAGAGGAGGGAGCTTGGGGATGGGGTGAGGGAGAGGAGGGAGCTTGGGGATGGGGTGAGGGAGAGGAGGGAGCTTGGGGATGGGATAGGCAAGAAAGGACTGGCCAGCAGATGGCCAGCAGACGGTAAAGAAGCGGGAACATATATTTAAGACGATTGTTACTTACTCAGACATTCTAGAGCTTGCCTACACAAACTTGCACTTTTATGAGGTAGCTGAGGATAACAAGGCGGCGCAATGACCGGGTGGTGATGCACACTCAGGTAGCAGTGACCTCTGGCAGTAAAGATTGATTTGTTGATGTTGTTTACGTATTGTTTAGTGGGAACCGTGGACGGCCATTAGAGAGAAGAGGGGTGATTGACTTGTGCACAACGGCGAGGGAGAGATCTTGACTGGGTTAAAGGGAAGGCAGAGAGATTGGATTGGGTAAGGAGAGGGTAGGGAGATAGTCTAGGTTAGGGTAATGAGAGCGGAGGGAGATTACTTACGTTGAGGGCAGGAGTTGAAGATAGACTTGTCAGGAAATGGAAATTAACTGACGCAAATGAAGAAAGATGGAATGGTGAAGGTAAGGAGAAAAAGGGTGATTAACCGGGTTGAAAGGAGGAGAGATAAATTGACTGGTGTAATATAGGAAAGTGATTCCGTATGGTAAGAGGAAGTGGCTTTGATAATGGTTGACTGGGGAAGATTTGTTCTATTTCAAATGTAGAGCAATACAGTATTGTCATTTTCCGAATAAGAGGTAGAGTATGTCGAGGGCGTGACGCTGTGGTAGAGGGAGGAAGGGTAACTGAGAGAATTAGTGCTGGTGCTACGAAAGGCAGCCACAAGCAGTTTGCAATATTGATTTAGTAATATAGTGAGGTGCGGTGCCTGGTGGGCTGGGAGTGTTGTGTGCGCGTGTGTATGAGGCAGTGAGAGAGAGTGGCACGTCCTCCACCTTACATAACGCCTGCTCCCGTCTGCTGGAGAGCTGCAGCAACGGGGCGAGTACATGGAGCGCCCCGGAACTGTACGCCCCTCATTAATACCGGTGATAGAGAAAATGCTGAAGTGGCGTGCACAGTGGCGGGCGTGCCAGTGTGGCCCTCTGGCCCTCTCCTGTGCTACACGCCCGCTCACGCCAGCTGGGCGTTGCCCCCCGCCGCGTGGCCTGTCAGCTGTTGCTGCAGCTGCTGGCGAGATCTTCTATTGGGAGCTGCTGGAGTCATACTTGGCTAATTAATGTTCATGGGTTGTATTGTGCAGGATACAGCGCACGACAGATGGTGGCGGAAACACTTGCAGTGGCCAGCATCCTCTCCTACAGGATGTTAGTGACATAACAGAACCCGTTGCTAAACTACGCTAGAATCTTCACTCTCATGGTGATGGTGAGATGATTATTGACACGGCTAGGCGGGCAGTGAGCACAGAGTAAGACACGCCAGGAGCAGTGATACGGTGCCGGAGGAAGACAGGCCTAGTGGATATTGCCAGCTGGAGTTAGATCATCATGGCTGACATGGAAGTGAGCGTGGGCAGAGGAAGGGTCAAGACGTGCCTCGATGACGACGATGGCGACGATGAAGTGGAGTCGTGTCAAAGGGGCGGCCTTGCCACACACACCACTTGGACACGCACCGAGGGCTCCAGGGCGGCATTTGGGTGGCTCAAGGCCAAACTTTTTGAGACTCGGCTTGCCAGCCACGTTCGCCAAGCCCAGATGGCTCTGGCAGACACTATAAAGCATGCCGGGTGGGCCGTGGAACACAAGGTGGGGTAACATGGCTCAGTATGTTAGGGCTCGGTACGAAATGCGGAACTAGTATTGAATGAATCGTTAAATGATAGTTGCACATTGGATAAATTTGGTGATGATGAGTTAAATCAGGTAGACAGTTTATTTTTAAATGTGCCTGGGAACCATTGGATGAGCCAAGAAGCGCCATGATACCATTCTGTGGAACAGGATGCACCAGGAGAGCATTAGATACGCCAGAAACTCGAAGACCCATTTACTGGGCTAAGAGGTCTGGCATCAAGTTAGTTTTCTATGTACCCACATAATAGGTCAACCCATCCTTTAAGCAGTTGTGCAAATGATTCATATATGTATAGGCTAATGGGTGTAGTAACGCATACCAAGTATTCAGTTTAATAGTTATAGTATTGAACTTGGTTGGCTCATCAGCAGTTAATTACAGTTTTAGTTAGCTTAAGTTGTCAGAGCCCAGTAAATGACAGCCATGTACCCACACCCATCCAGTGGCCAACAGGTTCATTAGCTGTACAAACATTTACTAAGCAATAAGCAAGTTACAGCATTGATGAGGTAGTTGTGCAGTCACACAATTACTGACACTGAAATTCATGTTTGTTTACAAGGCTAATCAAATTTGAGGTCGTGTTACAAGTAGTAGTATAATGGTCTAGTTAATATTGGCAATAAGATGGTCAGTAAATATCATGAGAGCATTTTAAAGGCCAAGAGGGGCAAGGGAGGATTTGGAAGGTTCAAAGGAGCATTGGGAAAGCCAGGAGGATGCAAGGGAGCATTGGGAAAGCCAAGAGGGTGAAAGGGAGCATTGCAAAGGCCAAAAGTGCAAGAGAGTATTGGGAAGGCCATTTCATTCACTCAGGCCATAAGAGTCTTCAGGGTTCCTAAAGTACAATATATGTCAGCGCACGTGGGATTCCGACAAGGCTTCCCCAATTGGGAGCACGCATTTTCCCTCTGCATCGCGACACTGAGGCAATGGAACAGGAAACGGGCCACTCTTGAGTCTTTAGTTTCCCTAATGAGTTCCTCGCCCACCTCCTTTAGCAACTTAATGCACATGTACCCCCACGCGCCCAGGGATTCAGACCCTATCGGCATGAACCTGTAACAAAGTTTTAGGTCCTTGTACTTGTTAGTTTTCTGGGTCTCGCTGAAGGTGGCCGCCCCACCTTCCTCAGATGTACTGCGAGCCTGATTAGGTATCAGCCAATGTAGATGCACACGTGTAGTCTCACGCAATCTGTTTACCATGAAAAAATCCACAAGGGCCGTGACGAGGATTCGAACCTGCGTCCGGGAGCATCCCAGACACTGCCTTAATCGACTGAGCTAGTGTCTGGGATGCTCCTGGACGCAGGTTCGAATCCTCGTCACGGCCCTTGTGGATTTGTTCATTTGATGCATCACGTTAGTGTGATCTCTGTGTGTGTCTGTTTACCATACCTCTTGGCTGCAAGGTGACTCCATCTGGGCGTTTGTGACTGTTGTCAGGTCTGCACAACCGAGGTTCCCTTTGTGCTGGACACCCAGCTGTAGCCAATCTTCTCTTGATGATGTCATTGACTGCTTTATGTCTGGCAATCTTCTCCAGTGACTTGCAACAAATGAGACCACGGCTGCCATATTGGTCTGCCGACGCATAGCCGCAGATGCACCTGTGTTCAGTGGAGATAGGGGCGGCAAGGCCCAGGGCAAGACCAATACTTAGGGCCCGATGGTCCAAGCGGGTGCCCAAGGCAGAATTAGAGATTGTCAATGGCATGGGGAGCTTGCACAGCTAGGAAACGCACTTTGTCCTTCCCAGAAGCTGCCTCGAGCAATGCTGTGGCAATGTTCTCCACTATGGGGCTATCCCATTTGGCCTGTTTGCAGTTGTTTGGAAAAGTTGGTCGAGGGTGAGAGTTAGCAAGAATGTCCCACTGGCCAGCTCCGTCCACAAATTTGAGATCATGAATCCCAATGGAGTCTCTTGGATATTCTAGTAGTATTTCATTCACTAATTCACCTGTAGCACTAGTCGAGGATAAGAATGCTGGCAATGCTAACTGTGTCGCCTTGCGAATACATTACATACCTGTAATGTATTCACAGGGTATTGCGTCAAGGTATTGCGAATACATTATAGATATGTATTATAATTATGCATTATAGGTAATGTACTGAATAATTGTTCAAATACATATTTTATATTTTTCAAATATAAAATATACATTTTATTTTAAATTTCATTACATAAAATGAGTTACAACATTGGTTACATGCAGGGTACATGGCTACTAAGAACATAATTAGGAACAAAGAATAAAAGTAACTACAGAAGGCCTATTGGCCTTTACAAGGCAGCTCCTATTTATAGCTACCCAATCCCACTCATATTCATGTCCAACCCACGTAAGAAACAATCAAGGGACCCCCACCTCCACCACGTTACGTGGTAATTGGTTCTACAAATCAACAACCCTGTTACCGAACCAGTATTTACCCAGGTCTTTCCTAAATCTAAACTTATCCAATTTATACCAATTGTTTTGTGTTCTGTCATGTGTTGATACTTTTAGTATCCAGTAATATCCCCTTTGCTATGCCCATTCATCCAATTGTACACCTCTATCATGTTAATCCTAGTTCTTCGCCTTTCTAGAGAATGTAATTTAAGCTTTGTCAATCTTTCTTCATATGACAGGCTTCTAATTTGAGGTTTCTAGTGTGTGTGTGTATAAATTGTTAAGAACCAGAATGCACTCCTTGGCCTACTATGCAAGGCCCTATTTGCCTAATAAGCTGAGTTTTTCTGATACACACAGTACAACCTCGATTCAGCGCACTACAGTATATGGGACCAAACCGAGGTTGTTGCGAGGGTGGATTCGTTGCAAGAGGTGACCTTCAGGAGGTGTTTGTGTTAGTCTTTTTTTTTGTCTTGTACACAAAAAAATGCATTATATTATATACTTGTCCATGTACAGTATATTACTACTCTACTAAAAAATACTGTTAGTTTTTATTTACCTTATTGTTGGAGTAATGTCCATCTTGAATTCTAATAGAGTTGTGAATACTGTACAGTAAATACTTAAAGGCTGTATGTTGAGTAGTACAATACATTTTATGAAAACTGTTGTACACTAAAATTACTGCAAGCTTAATTTTAACACTTTAACACTGTGTACTTTAAGTTAACATTTGGTCTAACTGTACACTCCACACACGATGTTCTTAGATGTTTGCATTTGGTTTGCTGGTGCTCCCTGCTGCTGTGTTTGCTTCAGCTGCTTCTGAGCTGGTGCTGGGTATGCTTGCTGTGCTCGTGCTGGGTAATTACCTAAGTGTAGTTACAGGATGAGAGCTACGCTCGTGGTGTCCCGTCTTCCCTGCACTCTGTCATATAACGCTTTGAAATTACTGACGGTTTTGGCCTCCACCACCTTCTCACTTAACTTGTTCCAACCGTCTACCACTCTGTTTACAAAAGTGAATTTTCGTATATTTCTACTGCAGCTTTGTTTCGTTAGTTTAAATCTATGACCTCTTGTTCTTGAAGTTCCGGGTCTCAGGAATTCTTCCCTATCAGTTTTGTCGATTCCTGTTACTATTTTGAACGTAGTGATCATATCGCCTCTTTTCTTCCATCTTCTAGTTTTTGCATATTTAATGCCTCTAACCTCTCCTCGTAGCTCTTGTCCTTCAGTTCTGGGAGCCACTTAATAGCATGTCTTTGCACCTTTTCCAGTTTGTTGATGTGCTTATTAGATATGGGCACCACACAACCGCTGCATATTCCAGCTTTGGTCTAATAAAAGTTGTGAACAATTACTTTAGTATTTTGGCATCCATGTATTTAAAAGCAATTCTGAGGTTAGAAAGTGTAGCATAAGCTCCTCGCACAATGTTCTTAATGTGGTCCTCAGGCGACAGTTTTCTATCTAGAACAACCCCTAGATCCCTTTCTTTGTCAGAATTCTTTAAAGATTTCTCACATAATATATAGGTTATGTGGGGTCTATGTTCTCCAATTCCACATTCCATAACATGGCATTTATTCACATTAAATTCCATTTGCCAAGTATTGCTCCATATACTTATTTTGTCCAGGTCTTCTTGAAGGGCATGACAATCATCTAGGTTTCTTATCTTCCCTATTATCTTAGCATCATCAGCAAACATGTTCATGTAATTCTGTAATCCCACTGGTAGATCGTTTATGTAGACAATGAACATTACCGGTGCAAGAACTGAACCCTGTGGTACTCCACTCGTGACATTCCTCCAATCCGATACCTTGCCTCTGATTACGGCCCTCATTTTTCTGTCAGTTAGGAAATTTTTCATCCATGTTAGTAGCTTACCTGTCACCCCTCCAATATGTTCCAGTTTCCAGAACAACCTCTTATGGGGAACTCTGTCGAAAGCCTCTTTTAGGTCCAGATAAATGCAGTCAATCCAACCATCTCTTTCCTCTAAAATCTCTGTGGCTCGATCATAAAAACTGAGTAAGTTTGTTACACAGGATCTTCCAGATCGAAAACCGTATTGAATGTCTGATATTGTATCGTTTTCCTCCAGGTGTTCTACCCATTTAGTTTTAATTATTTTTTCCAATATTTTGACTATTACACTTGTCAATGATACAGGTCTATAATTAAGGGGGTCTTCCCTGCTTCCACTTTTGTAGATTGGAACTATGTTAGCCTTTCTCCACACATCAGCTACAACTCCTGTACACAGGGATGCCTGAAAAATCAGTTGAAGAGGAATGCTGAACTCAGGTGCACATTCTCTCAGAATCCATGGTGAAACTCCATCTGGACCAACTGCTTTGTTCTTATTTAGCTCCTTGAGCATTTTTTCCACTTTGTCTCTAGACACCTCTATGTGTTTCTCTGGAATTCTTATTGTATCTGGTTCCCTGAAGATTTCATTTTGAACAAACACACTTTGGAACTTTTCGTTTAATGTTTCACACATTTCCTTTTCATTTTCCGTGAATCTATTTC